GGTACTTCTTTTTTTTTTTTTTTTTTTTTTGAGACTGAGTTTAGCATTTTGAGAGGAGTTTAGCATGCGCCACCACACCCGGCTAATTGTATATTTTTAGCAGAGACAGGGGTTCTCCATGTTGTCAGGCTAGTCTCAAATGCCCAATCTCAGGTGATCCACCCACCTGGGCCTCCCAAAGTGCAGGGATTACAGCGTGAGCCATTGCGCCCAGCCTCAGGTAGTCCTTTATAGCAGCATGAGAACAGACGAATACACCGTGACACATAAAGGCCCTGTGGCTTGGCTGGTGTTCATGTATGTGCAATCCGGAAGAATGGAGTCATTTGTGCCCCATACACCAAATGTCTCTAATAGGAGGTAGGGATCAGCAGAAAAAGTATCTTTTCCTCTCCAGACCAAGGAGTGTTTGATATGGTGATTTTATGGTTGCTCAGAAGATGGTTTTATGAAATGTGCACTTGTGGTCAAAATCAAGTTGTGGCCAACTGAAGACATGTCCTTCTGATATATATATATATATATATCCTGTTCTTTATAAGGAATGAGCTTGTTAAAAGGAGAGTCGTGCCAGGTGCGGTGGCTCAGGCCTGTAATCCCAGCACTTTGGGAGGCTGAGGCAGGTGGATCACTTGAGACCAGGAGTTTGAGACCAGCCTGACCAACATGGTGAAACCCTGTCTCTACTAAAAATACAAAAAGTAGCCAGGCGCTGTGGCATGCACCTGTAGTCCCAGCTACTCGGGAGGCTGAGGCAGGACAATCACTTGAACCTAGGAGGCAGAGATTGCAGTGAGTGGAGATCACGCCACTGCACTCCAGCCTGGGCAACGAGAGAGATTGTCTCAAAAAAAAAAAAAAAGGTGGAGAGGGGATAGTCTTGAAGGAGGAGCTATTAAGACTCAAAGAAAGGCGTTCTAATGATGGAATTATGGACAGTGGGGTTGAAGGGAGGTAATGTCAATCCAGATTTGCAGAGAGAGGAAGAAAGAGAGAGAGAGCGCTCACGCGTGCGAGACAGAACGCGCATGTTGGGGTGGGAAGGGGTGCTGCTGTCTTTGGCTGCCTTGTCTTCTCATGCCTCCTCTTCCTTCTGTCCTTGCCTCGACCCAGGCTTTGCTCTGCCGGGCTGTGCTGTGACATGTTTTTTTTTCCACTTGTACATTCTGCTTCCCAAGGTGTTTCATCCCAGAGAAACACCTGCTCCCTCTGAAGGAGGTTGCCTGAATTATAGATGAGCCTCCAACAGACAAAATGTGCTGTTTTCCTTCTTTTTCAGAAGGAAAAGAGAAAAAGAGGTAAATGAGTGGCCAGAGTGTTTCTCTGAGCATCCCAGGATGATGCAAGCCTCACTTCACTTTTCTTTGGACTCCTAGTTTGAATCCTGAAGCCAGCCTCAGGGGGGTTGGTTGGTACTCTCTGACCACCAATACTTTCCTGTGTTGTGGGCTTCCCCAACCCTGTTCCTTGCCCTTCCTCTTCCTCTGTGTGGGTGTGCCCTCCTTCTCCCCTGTCTCCACATGTCCAAATACTATATATTCAAGACTCAGAATAAAATGCTAGCTCCTCCAGGAAGCCTTCCTGGGTTCTCAAATTGGACATGATCTCTCAGTCCTCAGTCCTTTTCCTTCCTAACTTCCCTGCCTCCGAATGTAAACATCCTATGAGCGGGACTCCGGCCAATTTCCCTTTGTGAGTCAGCTAAAAGGCCCTGCTCACGGTAGTTGGTCAGGAAATAAAGGGGAAAGGCAGGAAGTGTGGAACGAAGGGGAGGAGGGAGACTCTATGGGCCCAGACAAGTGTCTGCTGAATTCAGAACATGGCAGGCTCAGCAGCCAATTTTCTTTGCCTTCTCCTTTGTGTGGGCTTCTGGGGCTCCTAACGACAAGTCACAGCAGAGAGTCTGAAATATGCTGCTCTCCAGGGAGGCACCATCTCAGGTCATTCTCTCTCACTAGGTCCCTCTCCCTCACTGAAAAGCCTGCATCCAAAGCCCATTGCTGGCTCCAGCATGTGGACCTTGCAGGGAAGAACTGTGTGAGGACAAGACAAACACCAGGGCTGAGTCCTGAGTGTCCAGTCAGTGGGGAGGGGGCTGGGCTGTGGGACGAGGAGCCCCTCAGCCTGGTTTTCTCTCCGTCCTCCTCCCCAGCGAACACTCTCCTCACCCTAACCCTCTATCTGGTTGTCTTCTGTGGGTTTGGTGTCCTCTCCTTCCATTAAAGGGAGGAGGTCTCCTTTCTTAAACCTCTCTGAGGTTCAAGTCCATGATGGCTGGACCTATTGTCTTAGATAATGCTCTTCTGGACATAGGCAGCCATTGAATATATGTATTGAGGTATTTTTTGTTTTTGTTTTTGTTCTGTTTTGTTTGAGACAGAGTCTCACTCCGTCGCCAGGCTGGATTATAGTGGCATGATCTCGGCTCACTGTAATCTCCGCCTCCCTGGTTTAAGTGATTCTTCAGCCTCAGCCTCCTGAGTAGCTGGGAATACAGGAATGTACCACCATGCCCAGCTAATTTTTGTACTTTTAGTAGAGACAGGATTTCACCATGTTGGTCAGGATGATCTCGATCTCTTGACCTCGTGGTCCACCCTCCTCAGCCTCCCAAAGTGCTGGGATTACAGGCATGAGCCACCACGCCTGGCCATGTGGAGTTATTAAAGGTAGACCATTTCTTTTTATTTTATTTATTTATTTATTTATTTGAGACAGAGTATCTCTCTGTCACCCAGGCCGGAGTGCAATGGCACGATCTTGACTCACTGAACCTCCACCTCTCAGTTCAGGCAATTCTCCTGTCTCAGCCTCCCAAGTAGCTGGGACTACAGGTGCCTGCCACCACACCCAGCTCATTTTTGTATTTTTTATAGCAATGGGGTTTCACCATGTTGGCCAGGCTGGTCTTGAACTCCTAACCTCAAGTGATCCGCTCACCTCCGCTTCGTAAAGTGCTGTGATTACAGGCGTGAGCCACTGCTCCTGGCCAATAAATCGTTTCTTAATCCAAAGAGCTTGCAGTGCAAGGAGACCCTCCCCTGAAGGCAGGGCTCGGTCCTGGAGACATGAGTGAGGCACATTGGGGATTCAAGTGGCCAAGTCCTCTGCTTGATGCTTCCCAGGCATCCTGGAGAGCTGCCAGATGAAATAGAAGACACCCAGTTAATTTGAATTTTAGATAAACAATGAAAGTAGTATACGTGTATCCCATGCAATATTTGGGACATACTCCTACAAAAAATTATTCATTGTTTATCTGAAATTCATTTTAAGTGAATATCCTGTTTTTGGTTGGTTGGTTTGTTTTTGAGACAAGGTCCCCCTCTGTCACCCAGGCTGGAGTGCAGTGCTGCAATGATGGTCACTGCAGCCTCGACCTCCCAGGCTCGAGCGATCCTCCCACCTTAGCCTCCTGAGTAGCTGGGACTACAGGTGTGCACTATCATATCTGGCCTTTTTTTTTTTTTTTTTTTTTGTAGAGCAATTGTCCCACATTGTTGCCCAGGCTGGTCTCAAACTCCTGGACTCAAGCAATCCTCCCATCTTGGCCTCCCAAAGTGCTAGAATTACAGGCTTGAACCACTGCACCTGGTCCATCCTGTATTTTTATTTGCTTAATCTGGCAGCTTTTCCTTAGAGGGTCCTGGAACGCTCCGCTGCGGTCATTCTGGGGCACCCAGTTAGAGCTCCCCTTCTGGGCCACTGAGGCCAAAGAGAACTGGTGTCCACTGCGAGAAACTTTGTAAGTTTGTGGATCGTTGACTTATTCCCTCTAAACAGTTTTGCAACTAAAACAGAAGGAATACGGCCGGGCGCGGTGGCTCACACCTGTAATCCCAGTACTTTGGGAGGCCGAGGTGGGTGGATTACCTGAGGTCAGGAGTTCGAGACTAGCCTGACCAACATGGAGAAACCCTGTCACTACTAAAAATACAAAAATTAGCCAGGTGTGGTGGCGCTTCCCTGTAATCCCAGCTGCTCAGGAGGCTGAGGAATTTATACTTTACAGAGTGTGGTCACATACATTCTTTACTCTCAAGATTAATCCCCAAAACACCTGGACAAGAAGGCGGACAATCGCCCGCTGTTTCATAGTTGAGGAACCCAAGGCTCAGGGAGTTAAATGATCTGCTCACAGTCCCAGGAATAGTTCCGGTGGAGCCGAAGCCGGTCCTGGGGCTGAGGCTCCCGGTGCAACGCTCCTCACTGCTGTTCAGCCTGCCTCCTGCTCAGGCTACTGGGCTCCGAGTTAATTAGGCAGCAAAGAACTCTGGGAGGAGCTGAGAGTGAGAGGAAGTGCCCTGGAGGGGCTGGCGTAGGGTGAGCAAACCAGAATGGCATGTTTTAATTGATCTTTGATTGTGCCAATGACTGCAGGCTCCCAGGGCAGGCAACTGCCCCTTCTGAGTCAGCACCCTCGCGTGAGGCTCAGCCTGCCCAGAGTGCAGGCATTGCTGGCTCTTTTTTTTCCCTGAGCTCTTCGTGTGGGAAGTACAAAGCGAAAGGTTTCTCCCTTAATTGGCCAAGCAGCTGGGAGCCTGGAGTCCTGGGAATACTGTCCAGGGTCACCTACCACTTTCCCCATCCTTCCACCCAGCTTATCCTGGAAGCCCCAAGAGACTCAGCTCTGCTGATGCAGCTAGACACAGCTCTGAAGACGCTGCAGAAAGCTTTGGAAGCACAATGTACTTTGTGAAGAAATTTGAAAACTTCATTGCTACTTAGCAAGTTTCTTGGCATTAGCAGTTATCCAGGGATTCCCAGGGGGTATATGCCAGGTGTACCGCTGGAGAAAGAAATATTCCAATAGGAAGAAAGAAACTCTCTCAATCTCACTACAGGCCTTGATATTTGGAAAGATCTCATCACCAGACAGGGTGAAGGACACTGGACTCAGACTTTTGGACTCACGTAGCCAGTGGCTTGTTTGGTGTCTGCACAGATACATCTAACAGGCATCTCAGCCCGAACAGAACTCTTGATTCCTTCCCTCTCATCTCCAAGATATGCCTCCCCTAATGTTCCCCATTTCAACAAAATTAATGGTTTTGGCTTAAACCAAAAAACCCAGGCTTATCCTCGATTCCTCCCTTTCTCACATCTCCACGGCCAACCTGTCAGCAAGATCTTTTGGCTCGGCCATCGCAAGGTACCTCAAATCTGTCCACTCCACTCCTTCTCCATTGCTGCCATTTGCTTCCAAGCCACCAGCATCCATTCAAACAACTCAGTTAGGTCTGTCCGTGGCCACCTTGGCTCTATGACAGCCCATTTTCCCATTCAGCATCCCAAGACCCTAGGGGATCTGGCTGCTGTCTACCTCTCCCACAATGGGCTTCTCTTCCTTCAGGTCAGAACTGAAATGTTACGTGTCCCTGTTCAATTTCATCAGTATACTTAGCAGAAACTGCCATTTTAATATTTATTCACTTGTCTGTTGTCACAGTGTCCCGCATTTTGATAAGGGCAGACCATCTCTTATTCTCTGCTAAGTTCCCAGTTTGCCTGTGTGTTCATTTCCTGGGTCTACAGTAACAAAGTGCCACAAACTAGGTGACTTAAGACAACAGAAATTTGGGCAGCCCCCTGGCCAAGCAGCCTGAAAGTGCCCCAGCCCAGAAGCTAAGACAACAGAAATGTAAGCCAGGTACGACGGCATGCATCTGTAGTCCCAGCTACTCAGGAAGCTGAGGCAGGAGGATCTCCTGAGCTCAGGAATTTTAATTTAAAAAATTAATTTATTTCTTGCAGTTTTAGGGGCTAGCAGTTGGAAACCGGGGCGTTGGTGGAGTCATGCCCTCTCTGAGGCCTCTGGGGAGGATCCTTCGTTGTCTCTTCTAGCTTCCAGTAACCCCAGGCTTTCCTTGGCTTGTGGCAGCATCACGTCAATCTCTGCCTCCACCTTCCCTTGGCAATCCTCCCTCTTGGTTACGTCTCTTCTTCTCTTATGAGGACGCCCAGTCACAGGCAGTCAGGCCCACCCTGCTCCAGCATTACCTCATCTTAACTCAATTACATTTGCAAAGACTGTATTTCCAAATAAGTCAACTTCATAGGTACCAAGAGTTAGGGTTTGACATATCTTTTGGGGGGATACAATTCAACCCATAATAATGTAGCATGGTAGATCTCAAAAAACATTTTAGAAACGAATGAATAGTTTTAGTCAATAAGAATACAGTGAGCTCATTTCCAGAGCAGCAAATACAAGAACGTGGGGCTGAACATGCAGGTAGAAGGAAACCTGAAACTGTGTAATACCTACGCAACTCACTGGAAAGAGAACATCCAAATTAACCAGTTACTTGGCATTGCACAATTTTTTAGGATCTTAGAACTGAATTCAAAAATTTTCCCACTGATCTCAATACGCTAGCCATCGAGGCAGTCTGCGTTTATAAATGCCTCTAACTATACCCTGTCTTTGGCTCTTCACAGAAGAGTGGGCACGTGTAATGGCTGAAGATACAAAGCTCTGAAAAATGATGTGACTTTCCTAGGAAATGGCAGGGCCAGGATGGAGACCCAAGCTAGACTCACTCTAGAACTTGGATATCAGAAAGGAAACTGATTCTATACATCAGTTTCATTACACACACACACACAGAACACACAAAAAAACTCTACAATGAGGACCCTATCACAGAAGCCAAGAAGGATGAAATCTCAGGGGTGAGATTAAATCTCAAATGACTCTAAGACAAAGCAGAACGTCCTAAGAGTGTCGCCAGAAGTTCTAATGAAACTCAGAAATGGGACTGTAAGTCTGTCTAGTCATGACCCTTAGGGAGAGCTTCATGGCAAGGGAAGGTGCAGGGTTTGGGAGGGAGATCTCTTTGATCTGGATCTGGAGGGAAAAATGCAAGTTTCACAGGTGAAAATGCATTCTCAGAAAAGGAAATAGTTTGAGCAAAGGAGGTAGAAAGGATAATATATATTTAGAAATATGAGGAACAGAGGAAAACATGGGCAAAAAGTGAGTTGGTACCATCAGCTGATTCTTCATGAAGACCCGTCAATGGGAGTAACGCTGCCTTGGGGTTCCAGCCCCAGCTCAGGTCCCTCTCTGGGCCTCTGGGCCTGTTTCCTCATCTGTAAATGAGAGGGTTTCCCAGAGATGCTAAGGGGGGCCTCGTGTTCTTCGGAAAAGCTGCTTTGATAGGCCTTCCCATTGAACTGCCTGATAAGACTTCATCTTCAAAATGGCTGGCCGGTGCAGTCGCTCACGCCTGTAATCCCAGCACTTTGGGAGACTGACGTGGGTGGATCACCTGAGGTCAGGTGTTTGAGAGCAGCCTGGCCAACATGGTGAAACTCTGACTCTACTAAAAAGACAAAAAATTAGCCAGGGGTGGTGGCGGCCACTGTAATCCCAGCTACTCAGCAGGCCGAGGCAGGACAATCACTTGAACCCAGGAGGCGGAGGTTGCACTGAGCCAAGATCGCGCCATTGCACTCCAGCCTGGGTGACAGAACAAATTAAAAAAAAAAAAAAAAAAAAAAAAGATTGTTTGCCATCCTTAAAAATGTCTAAAAGCCACTGGCCTCAATAAATGAATTCCCTTTAATTGTATAATCCTATTTCTTCCTGCTGCAGGCCTGAGCGTTCCTCCAGTTTGTTATTCAAATGAAGCATGACTCACTTAGGATTTACCAGCTTGCTCTGAATTGTCTGTGGCTGTATTAAGTCATTTGACCTGTTTCCAGTGGAAAATCCATTTTTATTTACATCCTTAGGTGAAAGAGCCTGATGGGATCAAAAGAGTGCTAGGAAGCAAGTCAGCAGCTCTGGCTCCACGCTGTAACAACAAATATTTGTAAATGAGTATAAACAAATGGATATTTGAATAAATGCAAACTAGCAATACCATCTTGGGCAAGTCTTCTTGTCTCTCTGACCCATCTCTCAAATGGGAACAAGGCCTGCCTGGCCTGCCCCACAGCATTTTTGTGAGGCTCAAATGAGAGAATACATCTGAAAGTTCTTTACGAACTGTAGTCGGTGGTGCTAAGGGCATCAGGCTTGGGAGAGCAGCTCTCCTGGTTGACCGTGGAGGAGCATTTGACTCTGAGACCTCAGGAAGTGATTGATTTCTCCAAGAAGTATTTCTCAGCTTGCGTGTATGAAAGAATAAGCAAAAAAAAAGATACCATGTGTATCTTTTTTTTTTTTTTCCGTTTCAACTCAAGTCCCAGCTCTCCTTCTCAAGGTCACTGAAACTAAGATATGTCATGAAAACCGGCAGAAACCTACTGGAAGGAGCCTTGGCCAAGTAAACCCCAGGAAAGACAGAGGCAGAAGGTCTTGCCTAGCTTCCACAGATGTTGATCAGTTCCTTGCATTAGTTGTGAACTCAAAACAGGGCTTTTAAAGTTATTTTTGAGTTCCTAATTAAAGTCACTTCATTTGGCTAATTCATGCTGCAGTTTAAGGAAGCACTGATTCTTCCATTGAACATTTTCACTGTCAATTCATCTATTTACCAAAACTTAACCAAATGACATCTGTCCCGCTTTAGCCCAAACCACCATCCCCACCAGTTTTTCGAACCTTACATCGCTAGAGGTATTTCTCAGATGATTTAAATATGCTAGTCTTCTCAATGAAAGAATTGAAACATAGGCTGGGCGCAGTGGCTCACACCTATGATCCCAGCACTTTGGGAGGCTAAGGAGGGCAGATCACCTGAGGTCAGGAGTTCGAGAGCAGCCTGGCCAACACGAAGAAACCCCGTCTCTACTAAAAATACAAAAATTAGCCAGGTGTGGTGTTGTGCACGTGTAATCCCAGCTACCCGGGAGGCCGAGGCAGGAGAGTCACCTGAACCTGGGAGGCAGAGGTTGCATTTGAGCCGAGATCATACCATTGCACTCTAACCTGGGCAACAGAGCGAAACTACATCTGAAAAAAAAAAATCAAGAGATTGCAGCATTAGCTGGACTATCAAACTGGAATGACGGAAAGACTGTCTTTGTCCAAACACATTCTAAGGTTCTCCATCTTGTGAAAGCTACATCCCTTAGCCTGGCTGAAACTTTCTCCAGTCTGGCCGCATTCAGGAGGCAGCAAGGACTGGTGGGAAAACTCTGAGCTTGAGCTCATCCCTTCTGCTCTCTATGCCTCAGTTTCCCTTCTGGTCCAATAATGAGGTTGCACTAGTCCTGCTGCAAACCTTCATTCATTTTCTGAGGTGGCAGTGGGGCTGAGGTTTCACACTGGGATAAGAAGGAAGTTGAAAACATAGAGCAGTTCTGCTTTTAGCAGGCTGACACATTCCGAGGAGGGTTTCCTTTGGCAAAGGATGACTGCTGCTAAAAAGTGCTTAAAAGGCTCATGCCTGTGATCCCAGCACTTTGGGAGGCCAAGGTGGGCGGGTCATGAGGTCGGAAGTTCTAGACCAGCCTGGCCAACGTGGTGAAACCTCGTCTCTATTAAAACTACAAAAATTAACCAGGTGCAGTGTCAGGCGGCTGTAATCCCAGCTACTCAGGAGGCTGAGGCAGGAGAATTGCTTGAACCTGGGGGCAGAAGTTACAGTGAACCGAGATCACGCCACTGTACTCCAGCCTGGGCAACAGATGGAGACTCTGTCTCAAAAAAAAAAAAAAAAAAAGCTTAAAAAACACAGCCCTTACCTGCTGGCTCTGGGGCGGCCCTAACAACTTTCCTTCCCTCTACCCTTCTGAGAAGAAAATGTGTGTACTCTTGCTGCAGTGACTTTACTTGAAACTCCCATCCCAGCATTTAATGCTCAGACTCCGGTTTCAACCTCATCTCCTCCAAGAAGGCAACGTGCCCGTGAGGCTCTTCTCTGCTTCTTCTAACAACCCCCTGGTTATACCAGGGGCCACGCCTGCCTTGGAGTGCCTTGTGCTGAGTGCCTCAAAGGTCCCCCTACTTCCCCAGCAAGATCATGAGACTGCTAGGGCAGGGACCAAGCTCTGGGTCCGGCACTAATCAGGGACACAAGGGATACCCAGTAAGTGCCTGGATGTTGCAGAAGGTCACATGACTGACAGGGCCCTGAAGCTGGAGGTTGCTTAGAAGAGCAACCTCTCCATTCCCAAAGTAGGGTCTGAGCAAAGGGTGGAGAGGAGGTGGATTCCCAGGGCTGGTAGAAAGTGGAGCGGGCTCTAGGACAACACAGAACGATCCAGATGGGCTCAGCTCCCTTCATAGCTTCCTAGTACCTTTTGCCCCTACTCCCGATGTGCTTTGGGTGAGGCTCCATTGCCTCGGGGATTTACGTGGGTTCCCGGTCCTCCTCTCTCTTCCATTCCAGCCACTCCCTCCTATGAAGAGACCAGACCCTGCCTCTAATCTGTCTCTGCCCCTGACACTGGAAGAGATTGAGTGGGTCCCCTCTGCTCTCTGGCCCTCAGCTTCCCATGTCCTTTCTTATGGACTTTTCTAGAGTCCTGCCATCCCATTGCATGAATGCCTTGCTAGCGTGGTCTGTCAGTCTGGATCCTGCCTGTACCCTGGGGGCCTCACCCTTGACTCTCCTTGGCTCACTTCCCGAGGAGCCATGTCCCACCGCTGGGTCCTGCCAGCCACAGACCCTGAGCCCCAGTTTTCTTATCTGTAGATTGCCAGCATTCTATCCCTGATACTATGAGATCTGCTCAATTCCAGAGGATCCTGAATCTGCTCTGTGATGCTCTCAGCACATTAGACCGCCTGAGCGGATATCCCAGACTTAGCGCCCTAGGCAGGAGAGTTGAGATAAAGACAGTCTTGGGTGCTCTGATGCTGTTCACATTACAGACCTGGGGGGGCCGTCCTGGGCCCTGCTGTGGGACAGCAGAGGCCTTGGGGTCTGACGGTGTAAGTGACAGTTTCTGGGAAATAGATATAACCAGCCTGACCCACAAAAGAACCTCCACTAGAGCTGGATGCTGAGAGGGACGTGGCCAGCATGCCTCCACTGTTGCAGGAGGTCTGCAGTGTGGTCTTGGAAAGAACCCACTCCCTCTTCCCCTTCTTTTCCCTTATTCACAAACATTTATTGAGCATTTCCATGGGCCAAGCCCTCAGCTAGGCCTTGGGGCTTCAGAAGTATAGTCCTTGCTCAAGAGAGCCCTGTAATCTAATCGGAGAAGCAGAAATATGAATCTGTAACTACAGTATCTTTCCCCCAAAACCCTAGTTTTCTCAGTCCAAGTGCTACTCTCTGAAGCTCTCAGCACGTTAGACCACCTGTTCCCACCGGTTTTGCTGAAGAGGCAGGCCACAGTCAGCAGGTGACTCACAAGGAAGCCTTAGTGAGAAATGATGATTCGAATGGCATTGAGGGCAGTCTGCACCGTGGCTTGGCCAACAGATTGCTGTGGTGTGGTTCCTGCTCTCCAAATTTCCATTCCCTCAGCTACTGCCGCCACAAAGCACCCTAAAACTGTAAGATATTATTTTCAGCAGGTCTAGGGGCTCCAAGAGAGACCAGGTGAAAGACAGATTATATTGCTGGTACCTGCGCCGGCATGAAACTCAGGCGCCTCTGATTGTTGGTCCAGGCTCTCTACAGGCCCACCGGGTCCACATCTTTCTCTTCTTTGCCTAGAAATTGAGGAATATGAAATACATGTCTGGGTGAACAAGAGGCTGTCAGGTTAAAACTGGTCCACAGGACTTCTAAGAACCCAGCATTAGGTGGCCCGGGGTGATACTTAACTAACGTTTTTCTGGCTGGTGGCAAATCTCAGCTGTTAGTTGGAGAATTTCTTCCTTTCACATCCACATCTTTGTCTCATACATGCCCATACTAGCCATCCTCTTCCTCTCTGTTTCTCAAATGGAAACACAATCAAGGACAAAGAAGAGACTCAGGTTTTTGGACACATTTGCAACGTCTTCACACTCCAACAAGAGGGCATTTGGCCTCCAGTGAAAACCAGTGGCATAATAATCCCCTCTTGGGAACCAGTGTCATTCTGACAATTCTTTTTTTTTTTTATTTTTTTGAGACGGAGTTTCACTCTTGTTGCCCAGGCTAGAGTGTAGCAGTGCGATCTCGGCTCACTGCAACCTCCGCCTCCCAGGTTCAAGCAATTCTCCTGCCTCAGCCTCCTGAGTAGCTGGGATTATAGGCACCTACCAATTTTAGTAGAGATGGGGTTTCACCATGTTGGCCAGGCTGGTCTAGAACTCCTGACCTCGTGATCTGCCCGCCTCAGCCTCCCAAAGTGCTGGGATTACGGCCCCCAGCCCATTCTACCAATTTTATGTTATGTGTCAGCCTTGGTCACCTTTCTTTTCTTTTTCACACTTGTCTCTGCTTGGTATTCTCTAGAATTTGGTTTTCAAAGTCCTTGCCTTACATTTGCAACATCTTCAGAGAAAGTGGTCCTAGCCCGTCCTGGCTCTCACAAGCTGGTATTTCTAGTTTCCCAGCCAAGGAGGGCACACCTTTCAGGTACACAGAGATACAAAGGCTGCCAAAATACTTCCCATTGCGTTGTTTATCTGGAGTATCTCAGGCCAGAGATGGGGACACGACCAGGCAAGCTTCAGAGGAAGCTGTGAAGCTACCAGAGGTCTTAGAATGAGCAATGGATCTAGAGACTCTTCTATCACTAAATGCGCTATGTGACTGCTGCCTGTTCCATCAAAGCGGAACCAAACCAGTCCCTTCCCTTAGAGCTTCCATAGATGAGAGGGCATAGGGCCGCAGGTAGGATGGGTTGTTTTTATCCTGCCCACCAGCTAACTAGCAGCGCTGGTCTCAGGAGTAGAGAAGCCCTCTCTGAGAGGCTTCCAGAGTAGCAGTGCTGTCTCTGATACCAGAGCATTCAGGCACGGCACAGTAGCTCATGCCTATAATCCCAGAACTTTAGGAGCCCTAGAAGGGCGGATTGCTTGAGCCCAAGAGTTCGAGACAAACCTGGGCAACATGGCAAAATCCTATCTCTACAAAAATTAGCGAGGTGTGGTGGTGTGTGCCTGTAGTCCCAGCCACTTGGAAGGCTGAGGTGGCAGGATTGCTTGAGTGCAAGAGCCAGAGGTTGCAGTGAGTGGTGATCCCGCCACTGCACCCCAGTCTGGGTGACAGAGTGACACCCTATCTCAAAAAAGAGAAAAGGCCAGGCGCAGAGGCTCACGCCTGTAATCCTCGAACTTTGGAGGCTGAGGCAGACAGATCACCTAAA